ATACCTCTCGGTGATTCGACATAATGTGCACTGGTTGACTATCCGACAGATTTTAGGGATGCAGTATCGTCACACAGTTAGAGATAAGCCCATTCAACCGGGGTGGCGTGTCTAACAGTGACGTTATCATAGTAATCTCTTTGTTAGAACGTCAGCTCTGCAATGATATTGCAGAATCAACCTGCAAAAACAAAATACCGTCAAACAATAGGTACTCCGCGCCAAGGCATCTCAAAACCAGTCAGGACTGCTCCTGATATCTTACAACGAAAGGTGCGGCAGTACCGCTCTAAGTCAGCCATGCAAAGTCCAACTCCATACAGCATGTCATCTCCGTCAGCGTAGGCCCAAGCCTCTAACAGACTATGGCGGAAATCGATGCAATTATCGTAGTATGACAACGTGGATCTGACAGAAGAAAGTTAGACAGTTCGGCCGTCACGAGCGACGGCTTCTACGATGTACCCCCCAGAGTATGTGCAGTAGCGAGGACTTGCGTGGTATCTGCCATACTTCCTCCTCTATGGCCCACCTCGGTCCGACGATGGGAGGTGTGCGCGGGCACCGTGAGGGCATGGAACCCGAATTAGTGAGAGCTATTGCAGTCCCTCGCGACGGCAGGACAGGCCAAAGCGATGTATGATGGCGCAGCGAGAATTGATGTGGCGACAGGCCGAGGCCGTGACACAGATGAGATGCGATGGACGGGATAACCAAAGAATGCGACATCGAAGCTGAGATGCGGCAAAAGACGGATTTTGGTAGAGCTGGTTGACGACGGCTCAATCGTCTTTGACGGAACCCTCTTCAGTAAATATTCATGTTCGCTATGCGACTGGCTTGTCGGCGACAGCCACCACGGCGTCCTAATTCAAGGCCTCTTGGCCTCAAGGTCATTCAACCAGCAGCGAGCGGTTCCAGACGCGCAGACCTGCAGCCACCCGAGCGACTTCAACCCGGACACAGGTGCGCCCCATGTCGCAGCTGTATATGCGCCACTTGGAAGCACCACCCCCCGGCGAATACAACACACCAAATGGGCAATACTTGAACCCACAAACCTACAAAAGAAGCTGCCACCACTGTCTCGCTAACTCTCAGGCACGAGTGGACGCAGTCAAAGCCAGCCCTGGCTTCACAAGCGGACACTGCTGCCTGAGAGGACAACTCCGGGTCTTCGTACACAATAAACTCCTTATTCTGGCGACTTCTGCCCTCTTACATATCGAGATTCGGCTTGGTGATTGCAGCGCTGAGTACACACTCATCAACTGGACGCTCCCGGCGCTATGGGATAGGCGCGTCCTGCAACCTGATTGAACACTCTTTTTGTAGGTGTTATGACAGATTTCAAATAATTCACTTTGGCCCAACTGTGAAAAACTCGGCACCTCGGTGAGATTCGGGCCTACGACAGCATGGGGAGACTCTAGTACAGCCGACGCTCTAACCATTTGAGCTACAAGGCCCCGCCGGACGACGCGAGTTTAATCACACCTATGAATTACGTGAGCCTGGCAGTCATGTGGTGGATTCTAAATGTAGTACATAGGAAATCCTGGTTGGGCAGTCAGTTTACCGTATCAGATCTGGTGATACCAGACGATGCAGTAAGTTGGGCGGGTGAACTTGACCCAAATGTGATTAAACTCGCGTCGGCCGGTGGGGCTCCGTAGCACAGATGGTTAGAGCGTTGGCCGTACAAGGCCTCCCCTTGCAGTAGTGGGCTCGAATCCCGCAGAGGCACCGAGTTCTTCACGGTTGGGTCAAAGTGACCACTCCTTTCTTTCCTTTGGTTCCTAACAGTTCGACCATCGATTTCGATGATATCCACCGTGTGCCCCACAGACTGTATTGTGGGAGCAGGGACGGTGACTTACGCAGGGGTTTGTAGTGCCAGTAGACTTGCGTAGCATCTACCTACACTCTCTCCTCCTCCCCCGCCCTGAGCCCGGTGTCAAGACCAAGTCAAGAAGACCGGAGACGGGGGAGGCCGCAGGTGGATGGCTCGGACGGATCCTCGCCTTGGCGCTCCACTCCGCACCCCCTGGTCCACACACAAATGACCAGGATTTTGAACACAAAACAATGGGGTGGTGGCAGAGGTCCGGTTGTACGACGATTGCCGACAACAGGGTCTGCCGGCGCACCCCGCAAATGTTGGCATTTGTTATTGCGCACAGATAACGCCTGCCAGGGTACGATGTGGCCCCCGTGTTGGTCCAGCGCATCTAACACGTGGCCCGTTCTGAGGGCCAACTTACACCTAAATACATACAGTAGGTGGGCTAACTCATGAAATGTCAGCAGAAATTCCGAAATACTTTTCCGTTCCGAAAAGATTAACTAAGTAGGGTTGCAAAACCAATCATCGTGAAGCATAATTCTATAATAATTCAGTCATCCCAGAACGTTGGCTTTCGAACAAACTTCTGTTCGGTTGTACCCAAAAACCATACTCCGTAAAAATGACTACTTAAGTAGCATGCATTTTCATTGATTTTCGATGCCCTTAAGGATTCAACAATATTTCATGGAAAACCTGCGCAAAATATTCATTCTTTTGCTCATTCAGTAGAAAGTTACAATTTATTTCAATTTTACACTCGAAGGAAGGGTATAATTCGGTTTTAAAAAAGTCTAATTGTGAGATTTATTAATAGTGTGAAATGGTCCTTCATAAAACGTCATGTCACTGCATTTATCAATGTGGCTCAAATCCACTGCTTAATTTTATGAACCCTATATGGTCACCCTTTAATGCCGTAGAGAAATATATAGTTTTCCTTACGCGGAAATTATACGGCTTGTAGTTTGGGAACCATAAATGCAACTGTAACGGCAGGTTAGGTCCAAAATTCTTCGAAAATTGGAAAATTTTTATAAAATCACACTATAACTTTCTTTTGAATGTAAAATTTAAAAAGACGCAATTTTCTACTGAATGAGCAAAAGAATGAATATTTTTACGCACGTTTTCCATGAAATATAACTGAATCATTAGGGGCATCGGAAATCAGTGAAAAAGATGCACGCTACTTAAGTTGTCATTTTTTACGGAGTATGGTTACTGAATGCAACAGAAAAGAAGTTTGTTCGGAAGCCGGCGTCTTGGGATAACTGAATTATTATAGAATTATGCTTCACGATGATTGGTTTTACGACCCTACTTACTTAATCTTTTCGAAACGAAAACGCATTTAGGGATTTCCATTGACATTTCATGAGTTAGCCCACCTACTGTACTTACGCAACCCTTTTCTAGTTCTCTTAGGGCAGAGTGAACCACGGCCGCAATTGCAGCCAAGATACCACGCCTGGTTTTATATGCAAACTAAAGGAGGACGGCATTATGGCATCTAAGGCAACTCTTTCAGCGAGCTTCAGAATTGCGGAGGAGCACGCTATTGGACAGCAGTATCTAAGGCCAAAATTGGTTTATTTCTTACAGATGGCAGTGATTCTTATGCTACACCCAGCGCTAGGTATGTTTTACGCCATGAAGGACATGATAATGATACGTGCTAAAACAAGTGCAATCGGAGTTTAGTTTTTGCATGCAGCCGCAAGGAAGTTCTTTCGAAAGCCGGCATCCTGGCGTAACTGAAATATTGTAGAATTATGTTGCAGGCGAGACTACTTTTACAACCCTACTTAATTACTCTTTTCGAAAAGGAAACGCATTTAGGGATTTCTGTTGACATTTCATGAGTTAGCCCACTTACTGTAAACTCTAGATGACGTTAGGATCCACAGGCTTCCTCGAGTTAGTCGGGGTCCCACACCCTACCGAAGGCAAAGTTTCGTGGTAGCATCATTGGACCCAAGCCAGTGTTTGGGAGGTCGATCCAGTTAAGGACAGCAACATCGGGCAGCTCAAACAGAAGATTGACTAGAAAATCACCTACCGCCCCTAAAAATGGGTTGGAAACAGAAAAAGGACCGATGTCTGAAGGCCATCACCGTCGGCTACGACGAAGAAACGTGGGTAAAGGGTTTGAGACAGCATCGTCTCCTGTCATAACACATGCACCCGCCTTCCGCCGGGCTATAAAATAAAGGACAAGACGACTCTCTCATAGATGTTTTGGCAGATTTTGAATAATTCATATTGACCCAGCTGTGAAAAACTCGACGCCTCGGTGGGATTCGAACCCACGCAGTAAGGCGAAGGCTTTAGTACAGCCAACGCTCTAACCACTTGAGCTAAGAGGGCAAGACATCTATGAATTACGTGAGCCTGGTAGTCATCTGGTGAATTCTAGGTGAGTTGCATAGGAAATCCTGCTTGGACAGTCAACTGACTGCATCAGATTTGGCGGATTCCAGACGTTGCAGTAGGTTGGGCGGATAACTTGACCCAAATGTGATTAAACACGCGTCGTCCGGCGGGACCTAGTAGCTCAAGTGGTTAGAGCGTTGGCTGTACTCAAGCCTTCCCCCTTACTGCGTGGGTTCGAATCCCGCCGAGGCGCCGAGTTTTTCCCAGTTGGATCAATATGAACGACCCTCTTTCTTTTTCATCACACCGATCCCACGAGAAAGCCCTCACACGTAAGTGCCAGTTAATGAACAACATTAAAGGAGTACGTAGGCGACGTCGGTGCCGTAAATTGTTCCCGAAAAGGACACCGCTAGATGCAAGCGGATACGTTGACCCAGTGGCGCGGAGGTAGTTAGGTTGAAGTCGACACACTCAAGGTGGCGCGCGAACGACAAGGGGGGAGCAATCAGTCAGGAATGGAGACAGGACCCACGTTCACGCATTGGAGGTTTTTCTTAAGAGACCGCACAGAAGTCTCTTTTTACAAGAAAACCACCGTAACTCAGACAAGTTTATATACAGCCTGCCCAACAGCAAAGGATGCGCTTCCAAAAAGGCCGAGGAAAAAAGTTGATACAGAAGACGGCATTCTGTCAGCGAGGGGGGCCGACTCCACGCTGGAGAGGACGGTCGAAGTGGGAAAATATGCATTTATACATCAGGGAAGGAGGTGGGATCACGTGGAAGTCGAGAAGGAGCACCACTTCTTTCCAACTTGCAGATTGTGCGAAAGGGTCGCCTTCTTTGTCTTCTCCTGAAACCCCGCAATCAGCTAAAAGAAGAAAGGCATGGTTACTTCACCGTTATCAGTTCATCGACAGTTTAGCCAAATAAGGTATCTAAACAATCACGAGTTATAATTTGTCCCGCAAGCGGATAAGGAGGTTAATTGGTTGTGTGTGCATGGACTCTAGGGTAGAAAAGGCTGCGAAAAATTCAGCGAAGCAAATAACCGTGAAGATCAAAAAAGTGATTACGCTGATACTATGCAGCGGTCATTTGGCCCGAAGTCTGGAGATCCATTCCCTACGCTAAAGGGGGCACCGAGGCGGTGTGACGACTGTTACAACCAGTCAGAGTAGGCATGGCCCATCGACCACAGGCAACACTAGAGCGCTATCTGATGCAAGCTAAGGACACACTACCACCTATTGACATCTCGGGAGCAGACCCGCATACAAGAGCACAAACCGGCGACTCGAAGGCTAGACCCAAAATCGCAACTGGTAACGCACGTTAGAGAAACTGAGCAGAATGACTAACGCTCGAGGCGTCGTACTCTGGTGCCAACTCTATCAACAGGCATCCGGACCTTCCTTCAACTTACAAAGTCCTACGTCATCACGTTCATGGAGCTCAGGACTAACCAATCACATTGGACTTAGGAAGGTTATACATAGACAGGTCGACGGCGAGTCTACTTGGCGGGGAAGAACCACCCGACGAAGCGAGGACTCAGAGCACACAGATAAAACACCCGTCAACCATCCCATGAGAGGCCGAGGCAGCGAGAGATGAGAACAATTGAGCATAATGAGGTCGACCAACGTGACATGCAACTTGGGATTAAGTGCATGTTACGCTTTGACAATGGTGAGCCGACCCAGGTCTTCGAAACGTCAGCACCTAAATAAACCCGTTCCAGCGAGCTCATCTTTTTTCTCCAGGTCATTTGGCTACTCGGCCTGTTCCAGAAGAGCATGGCTCAAGGTCAGAGTTAGCACCGAAACACTGGCGTTCACTCTGTAACCGAATCAAAGCGGGTACGAAGGCGTTCTGGCAGCCAGCAGCGATGCTGGTTTAGACAGTTGGGGAGATGACGGCGCAAGTACTTAATGCTCACGGAGATTTCAGGGGAGAGGGGGAAGGAGCGAGATACCTCTGATTTCAACCGGCGCGAATGCAAAAGCCTAAGCAGTAAGGCGACAGCATCTGGGGGGAGGGGAGGGAAGTGGTTGTGGCTATTTTATAGGTAAACGCCTAGCGAAGCCTGATTGCATAACTCGCATGTGGTTCACGATTGCTTATGCGTCGGGTCGAGGGCCTACTCATTTCAGAGCAAACCTTCAGTGGAGACCGTCCCAAGTGTTTCGAAAAGGGATTTTCACGTCCGGACATTTTCATGAGGTTTCTGAGACATTTTAAGTAGCTGTGATCCTCAACGGTGACAGACAAACTTGTTTAGAGGTGGTACACTATTGACATGACAGTGTCGTAATCGAGCACCCGGAGTGCCAGACCAGACCTCGACGTGTCCAGGTGGGGCTGCAGCTGTGGAGTCACAAGACAGTGCCTTTGGACCCGACGCGATATCTACGCCAAGATGAAGATCTCGAATGAACCAGTTCGCAGCCACTGCGACAAAAACTAGTCACCCAAGAAAGGTAACTAGTGTTGCCCCCGATCAGACGGCGTTGTCCGCCTGGAGGTCAACAAGAGGCTCCACACAATTCGTCAAGACATTGCGGCGGTTGCTAATAGAAGCGAACAGACGTGTTCCAGGATGAAGTTCAGAAAACGAAGGTGCGATCAATAGAAGAAGTTTATTGGCCTCACGTTTCGGATTCTCACTCGAACCCATTACCAGAGACAGACCCTCTAATGATGGGTTCGAGTGCGAATCTGAAACGTCAGGCCAATAAATCTCTTGCTTCAATGATCCCATCTTCGTCTCCTGAATTGTGGCAGTTCTTAAACCTTCTGTAATCGGTCTCCGTTGTGGAAGGAACTGACCGACCCCTTCAGATCCGCCGCCGCAGATGCTCAGGCGTGGAGAGGTACCATTCATGACACCATAGAGGTGGGATCGATCAGGCATGGTCACAGTTGTGGCAACTACGTAAGCTACCACGTAAAACATGTCTTTCCAGGAGTGAATGTGCAGTCATCAGTCGATCCTTCCCCCGGACATTATAGTTTCCACTAATCCATAGAAGGAAGGGAAAAAAAGTACGAATTGACGAAAAAAATCAAAAAAGAATACCAACCGAGTCTAAATGTTGTCGCATATTGTGGAGTGACTTGTCCTTCTTCCGTCGTTTCTGGGAGGGTGCGTGCACAGAAGAATCACTAAAAGCAAAGTAAGTAGAAGGCGTATTGTGCGTGCTTTCGACTTATTTTCGCTGTCCGCGGAAACGCGGTTATATATCCTAGTACATTGACAAACATCCTACTTAATATACTTTAGTAGTTAGCCTTGACATCATAAAAGCTTTTAAGACGGGTGGCATCTTTTAGATCCTTGAAGAATTCGCACTAGGTAAAGTGTGGTTTAGTATATTAATATGCATTTAGATCGCTTATAGGCGTTATTTTGTGCTATTGTTAGGGTGGTGGGGACTAACTTCATTGCGGTTTGAAAGGGGACGTCGCACCTTTTAAAAGGAAAAGACACACTGCCTGGAAATCAGAGGCACGCGTATGCCAAATTCGCGTAAATGCAGAAAATACTAACAATTCTTCACGATTTCCACTTATATTATTTAGCATAAGCATTTCATCCCTTCAGAAAGACACTATCAACTAGTGACTACCCGTAACGAAGCAGATTATTAAAAACAAATCCCGTAGAAAATTCGAGAATGCTACTATCAGGCAACCAGGGTCCAGTTATGCAAGCATATGCTATGCCATGATCAGTAAACCATGGCCCTCGCAACCTGATGGGCGCTGTCAATTCTCTGGCACCTAGTTCCCCGTCGGCAAATGCACTTGCGCTCCCGCTGGGTATACAGGACGTGTGTGCATGGCTACCCAATCATCCTCGTCCCCTTTCAGACCCGTTATGGTGCTCTGGCTGTTGGTTTAAATCCTGGTCAGGTATTTTTTGTGGATAAGGGGCTGTGGTGCTACGCCTAGGTGCGGGTCTCTCCGTGTCAGCCACCTGCACTATATCCCCACTCCGGTCTTCCTGACTATGTCTTGACGCCGGACCCACGGAGGGAGAGTGCGATAGGCGCTGTGCAAGTCCACTCTCACTATAAACTAATTCATGCACAAATCACTCTGCCTGCTCCCCCAGCTGTGGAGCGCACGGTTGACATCATAGAGCACGACGATCGAACTGTCCAATTAAGATCGATGTGAAGTCCCCTTCCTGATCCGTTATGGTGCTGTTGTTGTTGGTCAGAATGCTGGTCAAGTATTTTTTGTGGGCAAGGGGGTGTGGTGGTACGCATAGGTGCGGGCCTGCCCGCGACGGCCTACAAGGTCTTTAGAATGAGCCTCGAGGCCCATCGGCACAAACAGGTCCCGTAACCGGATCGGTGAATGCCTATACTACGGTGTTTAACGCCCCCGATCACAATTCACAGGACGGCGGGCCCGTAAGCCAATGGGCGGGGCGTTGGACCGTTTAAGGCTAAATGACCGAAGTCCCCCGATTCAAACCATAGGTCGCCCAGGGCTGGTGCTTGGCATGGCTGACGACGGCTAATGGACCAAAAACGATCACCTCAGTCTCTTAGATTACCGTCAGTACTGCTCCCCTGTGTCTGAGAAGCGCCCAGATAAAAGTAATGCAACAAGAAATAGATTTCTGAGCATCGGAAAGTATGATTAAATCTACCATGCCGTGTTGAGCAAAGTATGGCCCTCGCAGCCTGGTTTGCACGGGCACTTGGTCCCCTGCCGGTGAATGCGCTCTCGCTGGGTATAAAGGGCGTGAGCATGTCTGCCCAGTCATCATCCTCGTCGCTTTTCTGACCTGTTATGGGACTGTTGTCGTTGGTTTAAATCCTGGTCAAGTATTTTTTGTGGACAAGGGGGTGTGGTGGTGGTGGTGCGGGCCTGCCCGTGCCAGCCAGTCTCACTATAAACTAATTCACGCGCAAGTCACCGTGCCTGTTTCACCTAGCTGTGGAGCGCACGGTGGACATCATCGGGCACGACGATCGAACTGTCCAAGTGAGATCGATGAAAAGTCGATCTAGTGAAGAACCGTAGAAACTTAAAAAATAACCTTCTGAGGAGCACATCGGCTAAAGTGCGCGCGTTTTTGCACTTTGAGGGGAGGCAAAGAGGCTTATATTCCAAAATAATAACAATTTTCAGAAAATGTTGCTGAAATCATATTGTACTTAAAGTAGACGGGATATGATAGTTGTTGTACCTGTCCGGTGCAGATTCCAGGTCCGAATCTAAGATGATATCTGCTTCAGCGGCGGAACGCTTGAACCACTCACGTTCAGCAGTCTTCTTGGAGGCGGTGTGTTCGGCCTGATCCAGATCGCGCATTAGGCGGGCGATCTGACTGCAGTCGGACAGCTCCTCGGACGAGGGACCGGGTTCAAGGTCGGGCAAGTCAGCGGGAACTGTCAGAAGAAAAACCATTAACTTTATATTTTTAAGGATTTTTTACAGCAGTCAGTATATGGTGCTACTACCAACATTCAAGTAGCATATGTCTATGTAATTTATTAATTTTGGACAACGTCGTCCACCGCTGCTTACACTCACTACGATACCTGCATACTAAAAAAATTTACTTCTTTTCCTGTATCTTAGGTGTGCTTCAACTGTCTGCTGCATCTAATCAACAAACCGAGTTCATATACCTTTGATTGCTGTTAACGCATGAAATTCTGTGCACATCTGTACAGTTTTTGTTATTCCCCTTGCATTTCTTTCCATTTTCTCAATATACTTCCTCTGCATGTAACCAATCGGAATTTCAAAGGTACATACCTATGTTCCCTGAAATACACTGATACTGATACTAACTGCAGTGTGTGTGTCTTGGTAGATTCGAGCACACCTAAATTGATCCTAGCAAGGAATGCGTGGATTTGACACGCGGATCGCGTCCTCAGTGCTGGCCTTACTCTTTGTTTCCTCTGTCATACGGTGAAGGGGGGGGGGGTGTTTGAAGATCAAGCCGTCTGGGAATGAGGCTGGGAACAATGAGCGTCCGTCTGGGGCGCGGCAGACACCTACCTGATGCGCTGCTGTTGAGACTCTGGGCCACCTTGTACCACCGGACGTTCTCCGACGGTTCCATCAGAAGGATGCTTACACCCCGACGCTGGGCGCGGGCAGTTCGACCGCAGCGATGGATGTAGACTTCCGCCGTGCGCGGGACGTCAAAGTGCACCACCCAACTCACGCCCCCGGCGTCCTTGGTGCCGGTGAAGTCAAGGCCACGTGCGGCAACGTCGGTGGCCAGCACGATGCCAGACGGACACGCTGCGAGCAAATGTAAGTACAATACAGACACTACTATATAATAGATAGTAGGTATAGTAGATGGCATAACTAATGAAATGTCGTGCTCGGCATCTAAGAGGGTAGTGCCACACATACTTGGTGTGGTTATGTATGCTTATTGAAACCTTTTACTAATGAAGAATTTATTTCGGATCGGTTTTAGGCAAAATTAGACGTTTCCTGATATTCAAGTAATATCCTACGGTACTTCGCAGTACACGCCTAAGCTTCTTAATTTTACACGTTGTGCTATAAAGGAACATTCATATAAGCATGTGGGAACGGAAAACGAGGTTTGGTGTACATGAAAATCAGGTGGATTAAGGTGGGTGTGAAATCGCATTGTTTTCGAAAAACATGGAGTGTCAACCTTTAAAATTCTATTTTTTCAAATTTGTGACTTCTTGCCACAAAATGCAGTAATACACTTGGTTGGCAGTAGTTTGTTAAGAAAGTTAAGACGTTCCTTGATATTCAAGTAATATACTACGGTTGAAGGCGAAATTTCGAGTTCCAGGTGTATTCATAAGTGAACAAGAAGAGGTTTCGAGCTCCGGAAAATTTTGTTTGTTAATCTGAGCTTTCAGACTCATACAGGAGTCCATCGTCAGAGGTAGTAGCAGCAACAGAACGTTCGACAGTTATAAAGCATATAGGCCAATCATCGACAAACGGCGCACGACTGGAGTTGACTATGCAGGGCTCTGTACGCCGGCGCCAGATCGATAAATCGATTGACCGAGTTCTCATCCGAGGCCCAGACTTCAATCGATTCTCGGCCTGTTTTGTTTCCGGTGTGGGCGACTACGGTATTTCGCATTACATGTCTAGGCTTCTTAGTTTTACACGTAGTGCTATAAAGGAACATTCAGATAAACAAGACGGTTTTCGAGTTAATCCCATGTGGGAACGAAAAAGGGCGTTTGGTGTACTTGAAAATCAGGTGGATTAAGATATGTGAAATCGTATTGTTTTCTAAAAACATGAGGTGTCAGTCTTTAAAAATTCTATTTTTCAAATTTGTGACTTTCTGCCACAAAATGCAGTAGTACACTTGGCTGGCAGTATGTTTTTTTGCCACATCGAGAGTAGGTTGGCGTAAACAAGTATACGTCAAGTACCGGCGAGGTGTGGTCACTTTTCTGTGCCGTGCGATCAAGATGTTAAAGCACTTTCTGTCGCACGACGATTTTGAGCGCATACGCAAATTGGCAGCCGCAGGGCTGCCGCGTGAGTCGTCAGCCAATATTCCCAACATTAGTCAGGCCATTTTTTCCGAGAATTATTAGTGATAGAGCAGTGCCTGGAATTAAGCAAGGACGACCGAAACGGCCTACAAGTAAGCAAGACGGCGATCTTATTTATCGGCTACTAAAAAGCACCATTATATGCCTATTAAGACTACTCACAGGGAACAGCTGTCAATGTATTCTACGCGCATAATCGGGGTCAGGATGAAAAAATTCGGTGTCCATCAGCAAAATGCTATGACAAAGGCATTTTTAATAAAAAAACTAATTAGAAGAAGTTTTTTTTTTCATTTTTTCAAGAAAACATCGAAAAGAGACATCCATTCTGAAACAGAATTTACTTCTGCGATAAGGTTTTAGTCTTAGACAGGCCTCTGAAGTCGGCCCAGGTGATCGTATGTGGGAAAAAATTCCCATGAGGGCACATGATATCAACAGCAACATTAAGGAACTGTCGATGCCTGATGGTTTGGAAAGCGACCAATCTGGAGTTCAACAATGGAGACGATAAATAACAGGGTGATCATCAACATCGTAAAGGATGCCTTCGGTTACAACGGTATTCATCGACGTCGAATAAAACAAACTAATAGCGCAGGATAATGCCCTTGTTCACTGCTTAAAGGGGGCATGATTTAAATTCAGCTTACGACTATAACCTAATATTTCAAACCACAGCCAGCCTCTCCGCCTGTAGCCTGCGAGGCACTTTTATTCCCGCCAACAACCCAGACCTTAATCCGGTTGAAAATCTCTGCATAAATGAAAAGAAACTGGGATAGGCAGTGAAAACACACTTAAATGCAGTAAAAATGGATTACGTACTTAATAATTGTGTAGACAAAACCAACATAGGCAACTTGGTGGCCTCCCAACTTACGGTGGTCTTAAATGCAAACAGACACGCAACGAAGGACTAATACGTTGTATTTATTATTGTCCTTCACCATTTTGCCGTTTTATGACATTTCCCTTCTCTGCTGGCAGTTATATTAGGCTTTAAATGACTAACCTGTTAAAAAGTCATTTTCTGACTTGATGGTAAGGTAAATCATTTCTTAGTTAATAAGCAATACCGTAAAAAGCAAACCGTGCCTCTCTTTAACGTAACATAATTTTCATGGATACCGGGTGGGCTATTTGTACGCTAGAGATTTTAGTGCACAGTCTGTAACATCTCATCAGATAGGTCACGAACTGTAGATAAATACGGATATACGTACTAAATGGTTAGAAAAACTTGTTTTTCGGTATAACTGACTAACAGTTTCCACTGCCGCCCACTTGTCGTTAGAAAGGGCGGGGTGGTTTTCCAGCTAGTTTGTTGAATGTCGTGTGATGAGGACTCAAATTATTTTCTCACGCATCACCGATCGTGCAACAGAACTCACTCATCCAGAAGCCAGCCCAACCAGCAGCCGCACAGCAGCGCATGATATAGGCAGAATAACATTACCGACAAAGACGAGAGAGACTGTAGTGGCCATTTTTGGCTTATTAGCTGTCGTCAGGCAGTCATACCCAACACTTGGGGCTCGATCCCGCGACCCGTTAGTTAGAAGTCCAACGCCTCTAACCACTGGGTCAGGAGCTCGTTGTCCTGTTGGTTTCGATCGGGAATGAACAATGATGGAGGGGCTCTCATCGATCATTCTTACGGAACTCGATCGTCCCGTAGTGTCTTACGGGCTCTCTCTCGAGTCCAACCAACAGTCGCACAGCAGCGCATGATATAGACAGAATAACATTACCGACAAAGACAAGAGAGACTGCAGTGGCTATTTTTGGCTTATTAGCTGTCGTCGGGCAGTCATACCCAACCCCGAAGTGTGGAACACCTGGGGCTCGATCCAGCGAGCTGTTAGAAGTCCAACGCTTCTAACCGTTGGGCCACGGGCTCGTTGTCCTGTCGGTTTCAATCGGGAATGTACAATGGTGGAGGGGTGCTCATCGACCGTTTTTACGGAACTCACTTATCGGCTAGGCCAATGGCAGAGAGGCTCAGTTCATGGGATTTAACGTGTTGTTGGTTTGGGGCAGGTGCGGGCAATTACAAATTCGTACTGCAGCAATGGAGACTTCCTTGTGAGCTATAACTGACTGCTAGACGCAACACAAATGGCGACTGCGGCAGCCGGGAAGAGTTAAGTGGGAAAGTTACTTAACTATTTGCTATATCTTACCAGGGCAACTGAATCGGCCACCAATGGAGAATTGGGTTGCCAGATACCATTTTGAGCTAAGGCCTATAGGCGCAGGTCGAAATTTATGCATGCATACTTAGACCGATGTTAGTATACTACGACTTAATACATAATACTGGCTGCCTGTCGGCAGTCAATGCAGAATACAAGGTAATCCCGCTGTGGTTGATGGATATCGGCCTAAATATTCACACATCAAATTTCGGTCGACACTTAGTTCAAACTAATCCACTCCAAGGTAGCAGTCAATTTCTGAGGAAATTAAAAAGCAAGACGAAAGAGAAGCAGGGATCATACCCTGGAAGCGTTCCACAGAGCGCAGACGTTGCTTCTGCACCATGTCGGCGTGGAGGACGTTGACAGCGGAGCCGAGGGCACCGGTGTGCACGCACTGACGCAGGACTCCGGCCAGTCTCCGAACAGCGGATTTGCTGTTGAGGAAGACAAGACAACGACCGCCGTCGCTGTTAGCCCCACCTCCACAGGTCAGCTGGCGCCGACCACGCAGCAGAAACCACAACAAGAGGATATCCTTGTCCGCTTGAGTGCGACAGGTGAGGCGAAACTCGCTTAAGCCCGAGGGTCCCAGTCGACCAGACACGACCGCGCGGGCGGCTGGGGTGGGGGCGGCCGAGGGGGCAGTCGACACCTTCGTTCCTACCTTATCTGCATCGAGGCTGCTCGCCGCACTGCTTTCTGGGAGTGTAGGCTGTTCAGTGGACAGGTCGGCGACCTTCGTCTTGGCGGAGAGGCCCAGCATATTGCGAAGGAAACCTGTGGTGAGAAAGTGATATGTGATGCAAGACTTCAACCACAGAAGCCTCCGAGCATAAAACCATATCATCGAAAAACAATTGTTACTTATTAACATTAAGTAGAAGTGTTTGCTGGATAATATTTTGGTCTCCTGCCGAAATGCAGGCAGCGGTAACACAAAAAGACAACACGTACCAAGTTTGCTGGAAACGTCCATCTTCTGGCCTCCTTGTTTGCCGCCAGCCTTGTTCGCCCCGGCTCTCATCCCCGGCATCATGGCATTTTTGTGGACAAAGGTCAGAGTAGCGGAGAAGACAAACGTCTGCCTTCTCACAGCGGCCCGAGCGACGTCCTTCGACGCAGGCGTCTCCACCCCGCCTGCCTTCCCTCTTTTCCGGTGGTTCGATTGCTGCTGCTGTGGCTGCTCCTGCCCGATTGCGCCGGCTTTATGGGGTCGTCCAAAGCGCAGGAAGTTGAGGATTGGGCGCAGATCGGCAAAGTGATTGGACTCGACCAGGCGGTCCGCCTCATCAAAGACGACCACTCGCGCAGCTTCCAGTGTCATCACGTAGGGATGTTCCTGAGGCAAAAACAGGCGAAAAGGACAAGCAAACAATGACCTGAGTAATATATGAAGATGAACGACGCGAGACAGGACCCCACACACAGTTGGGAGACATCTCCTGCGGGAGAAATGTACGAATTGCAGACGTTTCATTGTCCGTAGTTAATGACAGTTCAACCGTCGTGACCGGCGAGGTCCACTGTGTGCTCCACAGCAGAGACAGCGACTTGCGCGGCATCTACCGCAAACTACCTACCCCCCACCTGGATCCGGTGCCATTACAGAGTCAAAAAACCGGTGGAAGAGAGCATAGATGGTTAGTACGGCAAAAACCCACACCTAGGCATAACACCACACGCCCTGCTCCGCAACGTACACTAACACAAAGCAAAGCTAATCTCCCTCTGGTAAAAAACGTCACGTTCCCAACCAGAATCAGAGAGGACCAAAGAGCAAATTGTCTGGACCTCGTCCTTACAAAGGACCAGATTAGTCCTGACGAACTTAGGTCTATAAAGCCGCTCGGTAGGAGTGACCATGTCATGCTGTTTTGGGAATACCGCCTATGCAGCCAACAAGGGAATATGATTGAGCCTCGGCTGAATAGCTGGCAAGGAGATTTTGCCGCCATGTGAAGCGAATTATCGGCAGTGGACTGGAATGATGTTCTTTCTGGACATCCAGGCATTGATTGAAACACTCTCAAAGGAGTTGTAACCAACATCAGGCATCAAAACTGTCCGACAAAGAGAGTCAAAAAGAATATTCGTCCTGCTTGGATGAAGAAGGACATAAACTATGGAGAAGGTATGCAACAACAAAACAATCATCTCATTACGAGCAGTTTCGTCGAAAGCGAAACCAGGTAAGGTCGGCTATCCGCAGATCGCGGAAGGAGTATGAAACGCGAGTTACGGAACGGGTCATCGATAAGTCAAAAGTGCTCTTCAGTTACATCAACAGTAGGTTAAAGAACAAGGAGACGGTCTTAGTGTTGAAAGGAGAAAACAATGAGGATATCATCGCAAATGACGCTAGGGCAGAACACATTGGCCGGTTTTTCGTATCTGTTTTCAACGATGAAACGGACTTTGACGAGGCTGGATTGTCTACTGGAACAACCGACGAAATAATAAAAAAACATCGACTTCACGGAAGATGTGAGGAATGAACTTCTAGCGCTTAAGGAGGGTAAGTCTCCGAGTCCAGACCAAATTCCGACAAAAGTTCTGAGGGAGTTGGCTTGCGAACTCGCCAGGCCGCTTTTGCGTATCTTCAGGTCGCCCTTTGACCGAGGCATTTCATTTCACCGATATTATCTACAAATGAATGTTCTCTAGTTTCGGCGGTTCTGCATTTTCCAAGAACATTATTCTGTTAAGAGTGTGCGTATTACTAACAACATTTTAGTACCATGTTTATTTAAAGTAAGATATGGCATGCTCCGTTATCACTAGGGTTCTCAAAGGCATTGCCTTTTACCCTTAAAATATACTGACCTGCCGATCAAAAGGGGGCGGCTCGAATGCCAGCTGGTGCGGCTTGGACCTGCCGCCATCGATCAATGCTGTCATTTCCAATAACGCCAGTCGGATCCCGACTTAATCCAGCACATCTACCGCGTGGCTCCTATCAGACGACAATGCTACGTCGGGTGCGTAAAGCACTAGGGAAGTCAATGAATTCAGTTTTGTGGTTCAGACTCTATTCCTACTATGAGATATTTCAGTACTCGTTAAAGGTTGAAATCTACTCGAGGCCTCACCTTACCCCAAATGACTGCGTTCAACCTCTAAATCTTCAGTCGGATTGGGGACGTGATAGAGATGGTGTTCAATCAAACGCGCACCGAGCGCATACTGCCTTTATTAAAAAAAATATGACACGCCAAAATCCCGGCTTTTAAAGTTTCCAATTAATCGGAGAGATTTCTTTACCTCCAGACCGGGGTCAGGTTGCAAGGCGTTGTAAACAAGATGTCCCAGATCGGACTCCTGCGAATGTAATGACCAGTCCAAGTTTAAACCGTAAGGCTAATCAGTCAGAGCTAGAGCTTGGGACGGCGGAACTACCATACACGCTATGAGCCCGCTTGACGAGTCCTCAACGGAGTTCCTGCGTCTCTAATCCGCATGTTTCTTTCCAAACGGAAGCACACCCATATAGGATGTAAAATCCGAGAAACTTACAAGTTTTGTCAATTTAAATGGACTTAATAGGATCCTCAGAAGCAAGAAAAGCATACAAACTGTAAACGGAAGCGAGAAGGCGCGTCTCCGGACGCAGAGGAGAAGGGAGGAGCTACGGAATCAACGAAAGGCCATGAGAATTACAGACAGCCTGTCAAGAGGCTAAACATAGCAAGTGGTCCATTGGGTAGGACGCGATTCATTCCAAGACAAATACGTCCATTAGGCGACTAGAGATACACAAAGGGTGGGCAGTTAGGGGCGATCACTTTCGGGAGTACAGAAATAATTGGTCAAGGGAATGACCGCACAGAATGCAAGACGAAAGGAGCCTGGAGTGCAATAGCGTCATCCACAAGCCGTTACGTGACCCTCTTCGCGACGACCTGACTAGGGATGTGTTTCAATCTACAGAGTCGAGGGGGTCGAGGTATACACCAAGCGGGCGTGGGGTGTGATAATAACTCTAGAGATTTAGCGTCAGAAAAGCCCCCGTCGTTGCGGATGGGATAACGATAATACAAGCGGAAAACTGGCACTTCATGGTGCATTATCCTTCAACCATGACCTGCTCTCCCCCCCCCCCAATACGGCCAAATGTAAGCAGAACAAACATAACTAATACCATTATTGAGTCCTTTGATAGAGTATGTTAAATCAAATCGATTTGAATAGACCTATGCGGTTTTAGAGCGTGAATTGAAAAAAAAGGAACAAAAGTGGAAAAATAAGCTGGGACAGTTACTTGCTGGAGAAACTCCCATAAGCGCCCAGGAGTCGCGACAACAACATCTGGTTGCCTCTTTAAGAGGCGGGCCTGCTTCTGAATCGCGATTCCGCCAACCAGGGCTTGAATAACGATGGCTGGCTGCATATATTTAGCCAGCTGTCGGAGGTGGTCTGCAACCTACAATACAAACATATTGTTAAAAACGTGCTACTAACAAACACACAGTAGGTTGTATAGGGTATTGCAGATTACCTGTAGGGCGAGTTCACGAGTCGGTAGGATAACCAACCCCAGAATACCATGTGGCATTTCCCCGACAGCACTGGTTTGCGACTCGTTCGGAAGTTTCTGCGTAACGACTGCGTTCTTTTCAGGAATCTTCCCTGCTGACGCATCGTGCACTTTTTTCACTTTCAACGTATCAGGGTCAAGTTCCTCAATCATGCCCAACTGACTGAATATCATTTTCCTCTTCCGTTCAGCCGGGGTCAGCTGTGCATCAAGCATATTTTGCAGCTCTAAAAGTGGGGAAAACAGGAAAAACATCAGTAAGAGGACTAACAGAGTCTTAGGAGCCAATATTTATAACTCTGAACGACATTAGGCGAACTCGAATTCTACTGGTCCAGAGAGCGGATGTAGATCAGCATCAACGTGAGGATCGAACGGACCTACCGGATAATAATCATTGCCTGAGCAAAAGACGAGGGGATTCCCCCGTACCAGATAAACAGTTTCTACTGTAGAACATTTACCATTAAGGCCAAACAGACATGGAAACCCTGAATTACATTAAATCTGGCATAAAATGACTCCGGATCAGCTGTGTGGCTCTCAGATTTGAGTTGTGTGGCTATGACCAGTCTGTCTTTCCCTCCACCCAAGGCGAGGACATTTTGAAGTGCCCTTAGGGGATTGGGTTAGGTGGGGAAAGGAAAGATGGGAGGCGAGGACGACACAAATTTTGTCTTAAATGTTTGCACTTTGCTCTTAAATAGGGTTGCGATATTGATAAGTAAAAATCTCAAACGCGCAGTAGTGGCATCTGTCGCAGGGCGAAGCGTTAATGATAAAGACGGGGGAGATAGTGATCAGTTTTTGATTCCGGGAAACCTAATAACTCGACCTCGGTCGGAAAGTTCTTCGAGGGCAGGTCGACAGACATCAAGTAGTTGGAGTAGAGCGTCGGCAGGCACATCGGTGGTGTAGGCCTGAAGGAGTTCATCAGTGCAGAGTCTCGCTAAATCTAATGAAATCGAGGTAAAAATGGAGATTACATCGAATGAAACCATTATCTCGTCGGTTGCCACGCTCACTCCTTTTAATTTGTCTAGGAACTCATTTGAATCTTCAATTGAGTTGTCGGAGTTCTTTGTAAGTGGATGTAAATGGTGAAATAGCCACTTAGAAATCCTGTAGTTTGGTGCACCGGTTAAGGAGACTATCGGTCGCAGTGGAATACCCGTTTTGTGAACTTAAGGAAGTCCATATATCTTGGCAATTGTGGGTTGGTCTTGTTTTAAGGATTCGGCTAGGACTCCTGAGATTAATTTCTTTCCCGTAAGCCACTTTAATGTCTTTTCAATGTGTGAAGTCTGTGATTTTGTTGGGTCAGCATTCAGGGGTTCGTAGGCGGATTTCTCCTGCAGTAGTGCCATCATCTTCTATGTGGAGTTTGTTTTGTCCAGTATGGTGGTGGAGCCTCCTTTGTCAGCGGCCAGAATGAATTTAATGCCGTCCTTTCATCGCAATATAAAGTTGAGAACTTGTTTCTGTTCCTCAAGGCCTGTACAGTACTGTTGCGAATTGTAAATTGCTCCTCCTCTGTAAGACCTACCGAAGTTATAATTGATTCGAAGCTGGCAAGGAAGTCCACGTAATTGGGGTCGGATGGATTGTACTTCATTCCTTTGCTCAGCACGTTCGTTTCGGTTGCCGTCAGTACTCGTGATACTAAGCTTATGACTTTCTTTGAGGATGTAGAATCGTTGTGACTCTTTCGAGAAATTTTCATCCACTTTTTGTCCAAAACGCTCCTCTTTTAAGTCGCTCTAGTTCCGAGACGTGCGTGATGGTCTCCTGTAGAGGTTCGAACAGCTGGAGAGGAAGTCGGTCAATGCAAAATTGCATATGTTGTTCTCTCTGTTCTGTGAATTTACGAACTCGATAGTGCGCATCAGTTATAAGTACTCCAAGCATCTCTTGACCATAACGGATGGGATAAATGCGCAACTCGCGAAAGTCTGACACGAGAACAGTTATCCTTCCTACACCGCTGTCGAAACAAGGTCTGTGCGGACAAGGCCTGCGACAAAGTCAACCCGAAGCTATCAAATTGCGATCCGCACTCCCGACATAGGTACTAACTAAATTATATATATATATATATATATATATATATATATATATAATGGTAGAGGGGCGCTCACCGATCGTGTGCAGAACTCACTCGCCCTTGTGCCTTAGGGCTCTCTCTCTCTCGAGACCAACCAGCAGCCGTACAGCAGAGCATGAAATAGGCAGAATAGCACTACCGACAAAGACAGGGGAGACTGGAATGGCCATTTCTGGCTTATTAGCCGTCGTCAGCAGGTCATACCCAAGCCCGAAGTGTGGAACACCTGGGGCTCGAACCCGCGGCCCGTTAGTTCGAAGTCCAGTGCCTCTAAGCACTGAGTCACGGGCTCGGTTGCGATAGAGAACATACAATGGTAGAGGGGCGCATACCGATCGTTTTACAGAACTCACTCGTCCCGTTGTGCCTTAGGGCATATTATCCTCTTTATATCATTGCACTACTGGATATACTGGCTTACGATGGCTTGAAATAAAATGCAAGCCACTGCTGTGGACAGTAAGAAGCCTCTAGAACGTGGTATCTGCTCACAGCGTTTTGTGAGAGCTATTTCAATTTCTCCCAAAAGAATCAAGAAAGGAAAAAAAGGCGGACAGTAAATTGCGAAGGATTTGATTACAGAGACCGACATTCACAGTTTTTCCACAGGAACTGCCCTCCAACTGAGACCGTAGCGTAAAACTACGTTTTTCTATTGGTAGCTAGTCGTAGTGATTAAAATACACCTGTTAGAACGCTCAGGAGGTCCTTTCCAATACAAAACTCGTCAAATCAATTTCATGGCAAACTTTCGCGTGTTTAGGTAGAAATTGCACATTCTTAAAACTCTAGATATAATCCAGTGCCAAAAGAAGAAGAGACGTTCACCGGGAGAAGTTTACTGGAGATCTGGCGCTTTGAGTTGTTATCTCGCCTCATGGCGCACTTCCTTCGACATGCCACCTGGGAATCCCATTTTTAAAACTGTTGACAATCCAATGCATTAGAATAGATCATACTAAGGACGAGGAACTTACTTTTTGATTTCTTCGATGGCTGCGACGGTGGTGGCACTGTCTTTTCAGAGAAGCAAGGCTCTGGACCTTTGGATTTCACCTACAAATGATGAACACTGGTTCGGAATTAGTGTCACAAGGATGTGCCTTGGCGCTCGTTCACTTTTCATCCTGCGGCCCTTATAACATTATTTAGGAGTGAACAGAAGGGATGGCTACAGATAGAGGTTTCGCCACAGGAGACAGGCTGATTTGTAATCGGGAAACCTGTTGTAGCTAGGATCGTAGCAAGCACAGAGCACGAACAAATCAGGATGTAAGAATCAGAATGAGACTACCCTATGATAGGGTTTTATTCATCTTACAATTGAAGTACTGAAACTAGAACGAGAAACAGAAAAGTGGCGGATAAGATGAGGTTTAGCCAGCGGCTTATGATAGCATTAAAAAACCATAGGAATGAGACTCGGTAGTTACCAAAAACCGGAATTCTGACGGACAGGAGCAGGGTTGACCAACCGGAATACGGATGCCTCTTTATGTCACAAGTTCTTGCCGGCATTCAATAAATAATCAGAAGGTTTACCGACAAAAACTAAGGCGACATGAGTGGCAAATTGTCGTTTTCATGCCGCCAGGATGAGCAAATTTAAAATTCTACTCAGTCAAGTTTGGTTAGCTCAAACTCTAACACTACGTCCGCTACGACCGGGAGGATTTAAAGTCTCATGGGCGTGGGATTCTCTGATGACACTTGAATGTGGGATGGGATTCACCGAGATTTTAGAGTAGGGCCTCGTTAATAAGAACGAAAAGTACCCTTTGACTGCGATCATCGGATACCCATTCGAGACTTTAAAAATGGTATAGAACACAGGCTTCAGGGGAGGCTGTCTCGAACCGACGCTGCTGATAGGGAAAATTGCGGAGATCAAAGTTAACTCAGACCTAAGGGAGGCAGTCGGAAAAAACGGGACAGATGGTAAAAAAACTGAAAAAATACGTAAATGCACTTAACAATGGGCGGTCAGTAATTTCACGTTGATTGCTGCACACAAAAACCTATCAGTTGCTTTCTGAAAGTTCGATGAATTAGAGAGGAGGAAGACTAAAACTAAGTAGGCAGTACCTTTTGCCCCGTGATCTCATATTCAGGCATACGACCATGAATCCAGTAACATTTACACGTCATGAAAAATGCGTTAAGGTGCTTTCTGTCGTACAAAAGACGGGACAGGCGGAGAATTCATGATCTACTCAGTTTAATGAACCAGATGCAGCGACTGCCCACCTGGTAGTTTGGTGTTCAAGTATTCAAAAGAGAAGACCTACCGAGGTTTCCAATTTCACTTTTGCCTCACGTACACGCATTAGGAGAGGTACACCGAAAGCGAGCGTCTTTCCGCTTCCCTACAAAAAGATGAGATAGGAAAGACAGAAACACTGCATACCGTCGGTGCCGAGCCCAGGATGTCGGCATAATCGCGGATAGCGAGTGTCAACACTTGTTGTTGAATAGGAGTAGGCTCCTCGAACTTGAGGTCCTCAATTGCCTTGAGTATATCATCGGAAATCAGAAGTGATTTCCACATGGTCCAATTCACCTTTGCTGTGAAATTCCATAAAATGAGAAAAGATTGAAGGCCGCGAAAAAATTGTACAAGAAGCCATTAAGGGCTAACGGTAAAATTATCGAAAAACACAGCCAATCTGTCTTCTTCAGAGGGTTGAGGAGCCAATTAGAAGTATAGCCTGAAAGATTGAGGTCTATTGTCTAGGATTTTGCAGGAGATGACAACTTCTGTGATGTAGTTCTAGTGTTGCGGGCGGATAGTATGCGGGAGCGGATTAACGGCATTCGGCGCTGGAATGTGTAGAACGGTAGTTTGACAATTCGAAACAGTGCCTGCAACTCTTCTAGAAGACACGATGCAGCAACAGACCCACTAAAATATAAAAATCAAGTACTGGTCAAGTGAAGACTGAACAATGACCTGCGACCGTACATCCGGTTGGAATCCAAAATTTACAAAGACTTGCCTACCATTTGCGCCTTATCAGCTGCCGACGGCTGTGACGGATCTTCCACTCGTCGTCCTCTGCTCATTATTGCACGCGGTAGATGAGTGGGACCAGCTCGGAAGACGGTACACGTTATTCGAACTCCGCAATCACGGAAGATGCCACACATGGGGGGGGGGGGAGGGGGCTGGCACGCCCAGATAAAGGCCCACTGCGATTTAACCACCTGCACCCGATCTTCGCATCAGATGATTGACCGGTTCGAGCAGTAAACCGGTGCCTTAGCGTGAGGACTGAGTCCCTACGCCGTTAAGCGCATATATGCCGTCATAAACAATCTGAAGCACTTGAACCTACCACGATGCGACAAAAGCCTCGGCTTCGAAGACTTCCATCGGAGAGCATAATTCGGTCCTCCAGGGACGGAGAGTCAACCCGCAATGACTTTTGCTAGATGTGGCCACTGCGGCACTATTACTCCGTTAGAATCCGAGCCGCCCATTGTGCGCGGACTAGGCGTGTGTGGCACGCACAGACGGAGTACTTTGCGGTCGATTCTGCATCTGGTCTTTTTGACTATGTCCTGACGTCGGTTTCAGGCGGGGTGAGGGAGCAGAGAATGTGGTAGATGCTGCGCAATTCAATTATCACCATCAACTATTTAACGCGCAAGTCACCGTCCCCGGATCTATCTTGCTGTGGAGCACACGGCGAATATCGTCGGTAACGACGGTCGAACTGTCGTGACTTGGCTAACGTGCAGCTTTCCAGTCTGCCGGCAACCACAGATGGCTGCGACTCAACTGACGCGTACTGATCAGTTAAACACGTAAGGGATCATAGTAAGAATCTGTCAGGGGAAAGCGTCGCGTTAGTTCTGAAACAAATACTCAAAGGGATTTTTTCGTTAGATTTCTATTTAGGACCGTATACAGATGGATCTGCCTGCTAGTGGACAGGCTGGCCGAAGTCGTCATCGGTTCTGGTTAGACAGAAGAAGCGCCCTGATGCATTTGGCTTTCCCATACCTTCTAAACCTGTTTTAACGACTTTATGGGATACAAGCATAGACACTATGACTGAAACTACGTACCACAGAAATATGCAAATTATCTAAAAAGGTGAAATAAATAAAACTAAGAAGGATATTGCCTTGGTGTAAAGGTAGATTCCTGCGAAAGAACCGAACAGTTTAATCTGATACGGAAACAACTATGGGTAGATTCGAGTCTACACTGACTTTGCTGCCGAGGAATCGGCCGTACTCATGCAGTTGTTTACGTATAGATTGGGCATTTTGAGCTAACTGGAAATAATGAGCCGGACAAGGACTGCCGGGTGTTCAGAACAAACAACTAAGTTTTATTTTAATTAGTTGGCTGAAATGAATGATTAAATAGGTGAGTCTAGAACATGGTCTCGAGAACATGCATGTGGCCTATTCTGTTTAGCCGCCTACACTTTAGCTTAGTAAAAATCGGAAACCAATAATATTTCGCGAAATATTACGCATCTAATATCTAGAGTTCAAGTGCTAAAGTTCTTACATTGTGGACTGTTCGTTGTATGAATTTATAACTTTAGCCACAACACTTCCTATCGATTGGAAGCTGGCGCATATTACTTCGCTACACAAAGGAGGTAACAGGGCAGCGACGACAAATTACCGGCCCATAAGCTTGACATGCATTCTCTGCAAAGTTATGGAAAGGATCATAAAGTGGGATGACATGAAGATATGGAGTGTAATTCGGGGCCCTGCCGATGAAGACAGACTGCAGAGGAACCTGAATCGGTTGGAGGAGTGGTCAAACCGTTGGCTCCTGCGGATAAACGTTGCCAAATGTAGCTTAATTCGCCTAGGCAACACAGCCAGATCCGCCAGCACAAGAGGCTACATTCTGGGCGGTGCAGCCCTACAAGAGGTCGAAGCCCGAAGGGACATCGGTGTGCTGACGACGAGTTCCCTAAAACCATCCGCCCACTGTTCAAGGGTGGCAAAAAGCGCAATATCCGTACTGTACGCCATTAAGCGTGCGTTTAGGGAATTTGACGAAGAAGCTTTCTCTAAGATATTCGGCCGCTCCCAAATTGTCTGCGTAGAACAACAGCAATCAAGGTGCACATTCATAGAGAGTGGGGTCCCACAAGGCTCGGTGCTCGGACCAACTCTTTTTCTCTTGTTCATCAATGATTGCGTAGATGGGTTGGACTGTGATTGTGCCATGTTTGCGAATGACATAAAAATCTGGAAAGTTATCCAGAATGCTGCCGATGAGACCAACTTCCAAGAAAATCTTTGTCGATTGGACGAGTGGTCCCGCAGATGGCTCTTGTCCTTCAATTTGAACAAATGCACCATTATGCGCCTAGGAAATCAGAGCCCTAGTACGCGGCAATACCATCTGAACGGAATGCCACTCCGAGAAGCAGAAACTCAGAAAGATCTCGGAGTTTGGGTTGCAGACAGCCTAAAGCCTTCTACACAATGCTGTAAGGCGGCCAAGGCCGCAACGTCAATGCTATATGCCATCAAGCGGGCATTCGTAGCTTTCAGTCAGTCAGTGTATTTGAGGGAAATAGGCTTACGCCTTTGAACTTCCTATTTGTACATAAAAAATCGATAAACAAGCAAAAATGTGAAGAAATTACAGCATTAAGTGAATGCAAACATTGATTCACATATGTCACTAGTCACATGGTTATAAAGTCACATAGTCCGCTTGTTGCTGCAACATATATCTGTCAAGGCGACATTTAAATGTCTCCACAGATTGAGACATAACAACCGTCTCGGGCAGGTTATTCCACGGTTCCATGACACGGTTGGAGAAGAAATATTTTCTCACATTCAGTCTACCCTGTGGCACAAGTAACTTGAAGGGATGTCCCCAGAGGTGAGTTGTGGTGGCGAGTTGGAAAAAGTCATCGCACCGAAGGGCACAATCCAAGCCGCGCACGATACGGAAAGTTTGTATCATGTCTCCGCTCAACTGCCTATAACTCAGAGGATAGAGATTAAGGTTAGTTAAGCGGATCTCGTATGGCAGTGCACTTTGACCTCTTACTAATTTTGTGGCTCGCCTCTGCACCCTTTCGAGCAGATCGTAATCCTGGTGCGTCCACGGTCTTCAGGCCTGAATTGCATATTCGAGATGGGGCCTTATAAACGTGCCGAAGACTTTGTTGAAGCAGTCTTCATCGAAAACTACGAATGCCCGCTTGATGGCATATAGCATTGACGTTGCGGCCTTGGCCGCCTTACAGCATTGTGTAGAAGGCTTTAGGCTGTCTGCAACCCAAACTCCGAGATCTTTCTGAGTTTCTGCTTCTCGGAGTGGCATTCCGTTCAGATGGTATTGCCGCGTACTAGGGCTCTGATTTCCTAGGCGCATAATGGTGCATTTGTTCAAATTGAAGGACAAGAGCCATCTGCGGGACCACTCGTCCAATCGACAAAGATTTTCTTGGAAGTTGGTCTCATCGGCAGCATTCTGGATAACTTTCCAGATTTTTATGTCATTCGCAAACATGGCACAATCACAGTCCAACCCATCTACGCAATCATTGATGAACAAGAGAAAAAGAGTTGGTCCGAGCACCGAGCCTTGTGGGACCCCACTCTCTATGAATGTGCACCTTGATTGCTGTTGTTCTACGCAGACAATTTGGGAGCGGCCGACAAGGAAATTTTCGATCCATTTGAGAAGTTTGCCACCGATGCCCATAATTCTCAACTTGTGTAGGAGACGCTGGTGCGGAACACTGTCAAACGCCTTCCGAAAATCAACATAGGCAACATGCTCGGTGTGTTTTGCGTCCAGTGCTCGTGTCCAACTTTGCAATGTGTATAGCAAGTTCGTAACACATGATCTTCCCCTACGGAAACCATATTGTGCATTGAAGACTGCTTCAACAAAGTCTTCGGCACGTTTATAAGGCCCCATCTCGAATATGCAATTCAGGCCTGAAGACCGTGGACGCACCAGGATTACGATCTGCTCGAAAGGGTGCAGAGGCGAGCCACAAAATTAGTAAGAGGTCAAAGTGCACTGCCATACGAGATCCGCTTAACTAACCTTAATCTCTATCCTCTGAGTTATAGGCAGTTGAGCGGAGACATGATACAAACTTTCCGTATCGTGCGCGGCTTGGATTGTGCCCTTCGGTGCGATGACTTTTTCCAACTCGCCACCACAACTCACCTCCGGGGACATCCCTTCAAGCTACGTGTGCCACAGGGTAGACTGAATGTGAGAAAATATTTCTTCTCCAACCGTGTCATGGAACCGTGGAATAACCTGCCCGAGACGGTTGTTATGTCTCAATCTGTGGAGACATTTAAATGTCGCCTTGACAGATATATGTTGCAGCAACAAGCGGACTATGTGACTTTATAACCATGTGACTAGTGACATATGTGAATCAATGTATGCATTCACTTAATGCTGTAATTTCTTCACATTTTTGCTTGTGTATCGATTTTTTATGTACAAATAGGAAGTTCAAAGGCGTAAGCCTATTTCCCTCAAATACACTGACTGACTGACTGACATTCGTCCGGCCGCATTTAGAGTACGACATACAAGCTTGGAGGCCGTGGGCTGTTGTGGATCAAAACTGCCTCGAAAGAGTCCAGAGGAGAGCCACGAAGATGGTTAGGAGTCAAAGCTCCTTTCCTTATGCAACCCGCCTAGTAAATCTGAACCTCTTTCCTTTGAGTTACAGGCAACTTCGCGGAGATCTCTTCCAAGCCTTCCGCATTGTAAAGGGGTTGGATTGCAGTCTGGCCTTCGAGTGACTTTTTTGACTTTGCTACCACGGCCAACCTCCGAGGTCACCCGTTAAAACTGCGCACTCAGCAGGCACGGCTGGATGTGCGGAAGTTCTGCTTCTCGGTTCGGGTGGTCAAACCATGGAATGAGCTTCCCGCAGATGCTGTGATGTCACCATCTATACAAAGTTTTAAGAAGAATCTGGACATATTTATTTTCCGAAATGACCAAGAGCGATGAGAAGTCGAGCTCACCCCATGTAACTCCTTCTCATTTTGTCCCACCATTATGGGCGTGTTCGAACTATTTCAGACCAGAACATCTATCTGTACACCACACATTTTTTTACGTAGCAAATAGGGTACTCAAAGGCTTACGCCTATTTCCCTCAAAAAACTGAACTGAACTGAAGGACTCTTACGCATCGGTCAAAAATTGGTCCAGCA